ATGGAGTCAGTCGGCACCCCGTATCCGGACTCCTGGGAGTACGATCCAGACGATCTCGGGATTCCAAGCTCCTCCAGTCATAATTCCGCCGAGCCGCGGTCGCCTCGGCAGCGATCGGCTCTGGAGGGTCTTTGCTGATCCAGAGGGTGCTAATTTCGGCCATCTATGATCTGAAAGAATTTACCGGGAAGGATATGGACGAAGATCGCGCTAGAGCCTGGATCGGCAAGGTAAAATCGGCATTCCAGCGATATCAAGCGACAGTAGAGGAGAAATGCCTCACGTTCGCGGATCTGACGGTGGGACCAGCCAAGAACTGTCACCGACAGCTAAGTCGGACTACCAAGATCAAATGGGCGGATTTACTCGAAAGTTTCCAGACCCAATACTGCGGCCTAGGGATGTCTGTGGCATGGCAATATTACCATGCTCGGAAAAGATCGGACGAGAACCCACTTGTTTATCTCTTATCGATTCAACGTGGCCGCTCTATGAGCCAACCTCAAGATCAAGGACGGTAATCCGAAGGCGCGCCGGGAACACGTCGATCATTACATCGAAACGCTGGGCGAACCCGAGTTGGCAGACCGCCTAACACTGTTACGATTGGCAGACGTCGACGAATTTGAGGAAGTTCTCCGTGCATGGGAACGAGCCAAGAGCAGCCAACGCCGATCCGCGTTCGGGTCGAAATTTCGACAGAAGGCCCCGGCCAGCGCTCCGACAGCACCAGCGCGTGCCGCTGTACGCGCGATCCAAGCACATGATCCGAGCTCCGAGTCGGAAGGGGTCTCGGGATCTGACGGATCCGACTCGGAAGGTGACCTGTGGATGATTTTCCTCGCTGCGGCAGAAGAGAAGTTGATCAGTACTGGGGGGCGTCTCGCAGAACCCAGATCCAGCGCGATCCCGAACGAAAACGTCTGAGGGACCCCGGATTCCGGATCGTCGCAGCCCGGGAGACAGAGATCACCAAGATCGAGAGCGCTGTTCCCATTGTGGGTCCAGGAAACACACAGATCTGGACTGCTGGAAACGTCTGACATGCGAAAAGTGTGGGAAGAGAGGCCACCCTACGGATCGTTGTCTTTACGCGTGTCGCGGATGTGGAGGAATTCTACAACCAGATCCGCAAATGGTACGATCCGACTCGACACCCCGGGCTGTTCCCCGAACAAGTCGAGAAGATAATAAACTAGGACGCTCGGCGGGGTGGAATCCGGTACGAGCCGAGCGTTCTAGACGGTACGAGCCCAGCGATCTAGATACTGCATCTACGCCTATGTGAACAAGGCGACGCCAGATCAAGATAGGAAGAAATCGGGTCTACGCGGTAATACATGTAATTTGCATTCGTATACCACCAAGATCGCGAGTCTTCCCCAGATCTAATGCGGAAGTTGCCTTAGATCTCAAAAGAGGGGAGTCCCCGGATTATTGGAAACGCCATTCCCCGGGGAAATGGTTCCGCCAAGCCAAGATCTCGGGAAGGATCAATCACAAGAGAGCGATCCTACTCCTAGATGCTGGTGCTGAGGTATCAATCTTGGATACCACCTTTGCTCGTAAGGTGGGATGCAATTTTGACACTAGTCAGAGACAGGAGTGTGTGAGGATTGATGATAACATATATACTACGGAAGGAAGAACCAAGATCATGATCACTCTGGCGGGATGTCTGGTGTATTTTTCGACATCTGGATCGGAGATCTTTCAGGACAAAACGCGATCTTGGGCATGGATTTCATGGTCACAGCCGGAGTACGGAGGGACCTCGCCGACGGATCGATGCGATTACCTGACGAGGTTGGAATACCGCTTAATTGTCGTAAGCGATTGTATTGCGAAAATGTGGGATTAGTGATTCTCGAACGATCTCTACGAATCCCGGTGGGCCGGTCGGAAGAATCATCAGCGAGGATCAAATTGTCGGCCACGGAAAAAACTGTGGGTGACCAGAGGAGAACGATGGGTACCGACTGTGACGGAAGGCCCCGGTCGCATCCGCTACCTGGTGATCTCGAACATTGGCGAAGAGATCCTACGGCTGAACCACCGTCTGGACGTCGGTATGATACTCGATCTAGTGCTTTATCAAGATCTTCTAGCAGATCGCTGATCAAGGACATAGGGTAGCCCATCAACCTCGTGAGCTGTTTATCAACTTGTAGTCGATGCACAACCTGATATCCACACCATTGCTCTTGCGAACAATCACGATCGGTGAGGCCCATGGCGATGTCGAGGGTCGGATGATCTCGGCTGCCAGGAGGCCCTTGATCAGGGCTGCGATTATTTCTCGAATTCGCGTGGGCACTTTCCGGGTTCGCAGTGGGTTTCGCATTTCCGCCATCGCTGTCATACACGACGCCCTTGGCTGCCGGGGGTAAGGCGTTCCCTTTTCCGATCAGGAGGTGTCGTTTCTTCCAAATGATCTGCCGGAGCCTCTCGATCTCCTCGGGTGTGGCCGATCGGGAGTCTCCTCCCACCTGCAGATCCTCGATGCTGACCTTCGCGGTCGTCGAGATCGGGATTTCGGGGAGGACAGTGAGGTTTCCTTCGAGGTCTTCAGCTGCGAGATCACCACTCTCGTGATAATATATCTCCTAATCGTCCTCGGAATCCTGCGGGGTGGTCGCTGCTGCTCCTTCCGCCAGCGGATCTCGTAGGTCGACGCCCTCAGTCGGGTGGATCGGGGATTTAACACCGGCGACTTCGCCGGTATCGAGCTTGATCTGGGTTTGACAGTTCAGATTTTCCGTTTTCGGCTCGGTATTCCCGACGTCAGTCTGATTTTCCGTCTTGGTATCCTTGGTGTCCGACCGATCGGTGGTCTGATCTGGCATGCTCTCACTTAGCCCGCCGCCCTAAGCATCGCCGCTCAGGTATCGATCGGCATCGGGGCTTGTCGTTGGCGTAGATGGACGTCCCCTTTCTGGATCGAGAAATTCAGCTTCGATCTGGTCCGCGTCGGCAATCCCCGCCCTCGTTCGATATTCTAGGGTCGATATCAACGTTCGATCTTGGTCAATGTCAGCGCATTCTGCCCGACGATGTATCGATCGTGGCGTGGGATTCGATGGTCGTTGCACTACCGGCTCCTCAAAGTCCTCTATAAGTTCGGGGCCCCGATCTAGTATCTACCGTCGATTCCAATGCCAGATTCTGCCATTCCCGGTAGCGACGTAACCGACGGACACGAATCCTGGGGATCGGGGTATTTTGTCCTCGGTACTGTTCGCTGGATATGGCCAGTGGCTTCTGGGTCGTGCCCATGACAGATCGGGCTCGCGAGAACTCATGATTTATCACCCCGTTTGGATTTTTCGAATAGAGTCGCACACCTTTTGGCCTAAAGAATGCCCCTTAGATTTATCAACGCCCCGTAGACAACGCGCTGTATGGAGTTTTGCAGATCCCGCGGTCTGGCGACGCCGGGGCTTTACAACGGATGTATTCCAGACAGGGATCGCGGACGATCCTGATCGCGAGTCAGTGTTGGGACAGAGATCTTACATTGACGACATCATGATCGCAGCGGAATCGTGGGATCAAATGTGCCGAAGGGTGGAAGATCTGTTGGAGGCTTGCGATAAGTGGAATTTGTCGATCACTGTGGCGAAGAGCTTCTGGGGCATCGATAAGGTAGGATATCTGGGGCACCGAGTGTCGATCGAAGGTCTAGAGGCGAACCAAAAAGATCTGGAATCCCTGACCGATCTGCCATTCCCCGGGTCACTTCGATCCATGCAGGTGTTCCTGGGTAGTTTGAATTACTACAGCAAATTCATTGAAGGTCATGCTATCTACGCTTCGGTGTTATATGAACTACGCGAGGTGGAGTTTGCAGAACTGGAGAAACGATCGGATCTGAGGGAGATCATGGACCGGAACGACCCGATACCTCGAGATCACGACCCACCGGAACTGAAGTTGACGGGACCAGTGGATGGGTGGTGGATCAGGGCACATAGGGCCATCGCCACCCTGAAAATCAAGATCGCGACTACTCCAATCCTCCGCCATTTCGACGAGACGAGAA